GTTACGTTACTACAAGCCAAATTCCACGCAACGTCTGATTTAGTTAGAATTCCGTTCCAATAAAAGTCTACGGATCAAACAATTATTTAATCCCATGACATGTTTCCTTCTCGATGTTGCTGTATTTTGGAACGCGATTGATTTGGTATGTTGATTCAATGAATGTCATTCTCTCATCTATTCTCATTCCATACAGATTAATGAGTCGATTTCGCCTATCCGGGTAAGTCTGCAATTCGCATTAATTCTAAAGTTGTTTTCTCGTCACACACGAAGTGGCTCAGGAAGCTAACTAGTTGAGTCAAAATTCCATTTCTATTCCGTTCAAAGTAAAACCATGCTACTTGTTCCCAGCATAGTTGTTTTATTCGACACATGATTGTATCACAATGCCGTTTCAATTAATGTTATTTAAATTTTGTTTTATTTCATTGCATGGTACTTTTCAAAAGATTATGTCATCAAAAATGGTAAGTGTATAAGTTCGCTATATTTTGTATCTTTGGTGTTCGCAATTTTGGTTCACGTTTTCGCCACAATTGGCGGATATTTTCTCATAGCGTTAGGTCTATATGATCCCTGAGGGCATCAGAGTCTTCCTCTTTTTTGGAATGACACGGTTAGTACTTTTTACGGGTCAGTGAATGTGGGTTGTTTATGCATGGCAAATATTTCCCATAACTCAGTCCTTTGAAACGATGCATTAATGACAATGTTCCACTATGAAGCGGCAATGGCAGATCATAGGGGTTACGGCCCCAAACAATTGTCAGTTATTTGAGTAATTAATTAAGAAGTGTACAGGGGCAGGTCCAAGAACTTTTGCGGGGAAGAGTCATCAGCAAATCGATGCTGAAATGCAGACAATTTTTTGGTTTTTCTATTTCTTTTGTGCCGAACTGAAATAGCTTTTTTAGCTGAAAGTTTACATATTTCAAAACACTAGTTCCAGAGTATCCACTTTTTCTAACGCTTTTCATTGAGAATGTGCTTTACTATACTGCTGTACAGAAGTTGCCGATTTAATTCAGGCCTACATTTGCTGATGCATACCTTCTTTGTTAATTAATCATATAATTTTGGATTCTCGAATACAACACCAGCAAACGTATAGGCCTACTCATTTTTTGTCTGTACAACTACTTCAGGAAGCCAGCTGTAAAATTCCTCCAGTGGAGATATCACCAGTGTTACAGCCCGCTCCTGGCGGAGCAAGTAATTGCCAAGGTGGGTAGAAATAAACCATATTGGGATAATAGTGACCAAAGCTCAATTACTGTTTAAAACTAAGATATTAGCACTTGCCACTTGTCACGTTTTGTTAATTCCACTAATAATGGCTACATGACTTTCTCCGATTGCATAATTTCATGTGGTGCGACCTGGGGGCGGGCGACGATTTAAGGATGTTTCCCTCCCCCCCCCCCTAGCTACCTCGCTCAAACTACTTGGTGCAACGTGTAGTATTCATTAATCCAAGTTTGTCACCTAAGGCGCTCCATACTGATCAACAATAAAGGCAAAAGGTCACCCCTCAGTCGGAAGTCATGACAGCCACAAAACAGTGTGTGATTCTCTCTCTCAATATCTAAGTTTAGGCTCGTCGCCAACCTTACAATTGGCGACGAGCACGGGATCTTCAGCAACGCCGAGGAACCCAGCAACACCGTAAAGTTGGTTTTGACCGCCGATTTCGAGAACAAGACTGTGCATTTCCGCGTGGAAAATCAGAGTTAGTGAAACGTTTTCGTGTACACATACCGCACGTGTACATGTACCGTGGCATTGGCTATACACACAACGCATCGTGTACGTGTAGTACTCGCTGCCGGACATTGTTTACCGTACGCATCATCGCCGAACCTTTGCAATCAAAATGTCCGCTACAAACCTGCCGTCCTTTCCAGCCTTCTAACCTCTTGTAGAGCCTTCCTCTGCCGGCGTACGGTGGCGGAAATATGTCAACAGGCTGGAGAATCTGTTTGTTGCATTCAAAGATGCAATCACCAAGTACTTTGAGCCTCGCAAGAACATCTAATATGAGCGATTTGTCTTTCGTGAGGCCAAACAGTTGGACAATGAAACTGTCGCAGACTATGCAAACCGCCTCCAACAGCTAGCCAAAACCTGTGAGTTCCACGACAAGGACACCGAAGTGAAATCTCAGATTATCCATGGCTGTAAATCGTCAAAGTTGAGACGCTATGCCCTCCGTGAATCTGAGCTAACCCTCGTAAAGCTTCTAACGACTGCTAGAACTTACGAACTGTCTGAGGTGCAAGCCAAGGGCTTGGAACAACACACACAACCAAGCCGCGACACAACCAACCGCGCGACTACTACGAAGTCCCACACGCGAAATCGCGAGTCGAGCAAGGCTCCACATGCCCCAAAACCCAGACACTCTGTACCCTGTCGGAACTGCGGAAGTACATTTCCTCACAAGCAACAATGCCCAGCCAAAGGTGTGACGTGCCACTCGTGTGGCAAACTCAATCACTTCGCCAAACATTGTCTCAGTCGTGGAATGTCACACAAGCCACAGCACAACAAAGCAAAAGTGCACGCCGTTGACCACACTGTCAGCTCAAGCAGCTCTGATGATGACTATGTGTTCGGTTTATCATCAACACCGAACTCCAAACACCCAGTTGTGACCATAACTGTCGACCAAACAACGCAATTGCCAGCCATCATTGACACAGGAGCCTCGGTTAACGTGATGTGCCTGGCCGTGTACAACAAACTGTCCTCCAACCCACCACTGTGTAAGGACGCAGCAGCAAAAGTGTTCGCGTATGGCAGTACAACACCCCTAGAGATTGTGGGCACATTCAACACCACCGTTGCCTACAAAACCTCGCACATGCACTCCACGTTCTTTGTCATCAAAACAACTGGGGACACACTGATCAGCTTCCAAACAGCGTCCGCTCTCTACGTCATCTACTCTACGTGTGTGGATATGCGAAATGTTAACACCGCCATCAAGCGCGAGCGTCACATTACACCGACCATCGACGACATCCTTGCCCAGGTCAACGGATCCACCGTCTTCGGTAAACTTGACCTAAACGCGGGTTACCATCAAGTAGAGCTAGCCCCCGAGTCTCGCCATCTGACTGTGTTTTCAACACACAAAGGCCTATTCCGTTACAAGCGTTTAAACTTCGGTGTTTGCTCTGCAGCCCGAAGTTTTCCAGAACGCCATCTCCTCTGCGCTCCGCGGCCTCGCAGTCACACTCGGCATCAGCGATGACATCTTAGTGTTTGGCTGCACACAACAGGAACACGACGCACGCCTCGCAGCCAGTCTGCAACGCCTTCGCGAATGTAACCTGACTCTGAACAAGGACAAGTGTCGCTTCGGCAAATCACGCGTTGAATACTTCGGACATGTATTCAGCTCCACCGGCATCTCCCCCGACAAGAGGAAAGTAGATGCAATCCAAAATGTGTCTGACCCTACCAACGCAAGCGAAGTACGCAGCTTCCTTGGAATGGTCACGTACTGTAGCCGGTTCATACCTGACCTTGCCACGGTTTCCGCACCCTTGCGCGAGTTGACAAAGAAAGACACACCCTGGCAATGGGGACCCGAACATCAGCAAGCACTCTGCCAAATCCACGAACGAGTCGCACATTGCTGTACAATGGCATACTACGATCCTAGCAAAAAAACTGAACTCGTAGTTGATGCCAGCCCAGTTGGCCTAGCTGATATCCTCGCCCAACGCAATGACAAGGACGAACTGTTGATCGTTGCTCTCACGAGCAGATCACTGACACCAGTCGAACAGAGATATTCCCAAACGGAACGTGAGGCCCTAGCTATCACATGGGCGATATTTCACTTCCACCTGTATCTCTATGGCAGCAACTTCGTCGTCATCACGGATCACAAACCGTTGGTCCCAATGTTCAACAACCGCACAGTAACGCACCGACCCGCATTGAACGCTGGTTGCTAAAGTTGCAAGAGTACAACTTCACCGTCAAGTATTAGCAGGGAAAGTTGAACCCTGCCGACTACATGTCGCGACACCCCCACGAACATCCGCAAACCACCAGCAGAGAACAACGCCTTGCGGAAGAACACGTCAGCTTCATATCCGCAAACGCTGTACCCAAGTCTGTCACTTTTAACACAATCCGCACCGCCACTCGCGAAGACCCAGTTCGTCAGTCAGCCATTGATGCGCTCACCACTCATATCTGTGACACGCTCCTGAAGAACCCCCACAACCAACAGACTCTTGCCACACTTAAGAGCCTACACAAGGTACGCGGTGAACTCACAGCCACAACCGATCGCGATCTGCTGCTCCGTGGAGACCGCATCGTGATTCCACAGGCACTCGCACAACGCATCGTCGACATTGCCCATGAGGGACACCAAAGCATGACAAGGACTAAACAGTTACTTCGCGAAAAAGTATGGTTTCCCAGCATGGACACCCTCGTCGAAAAACAATTCGCGACTGCCTTACATGCCAGCTGACTACGCCTGACGACACCAGGACTCCGCTTAACATGTCTTCACTCCCAGACAGCCCATGGCTGGAAGTCAGCATCGATTTTTGTGATCTCCCAACAGGAGAACATCTCCGCGCAACACCCCATGCTACAACAGGAGTTGCACCTGCTACACTCCTCTTTGGCAGGCCACTCCGCACCCGTCTCCATGAAACCCCACATAAGTCCCAGGCCAAAGCCGTACAATCCCACAGACACCCCTACACAGTCACTGCTAAGAAGGGATCGATGGTGACAGCTCAGCACGGCTCTCACACAGTCACACGCAACATTTCGAGATACAAACGCATCCAAAACAGAGCACCACCCCAGCAGGAAGATTCTGACATCGACGACATGGTCACCACCACACATACCCCCATCCATGCACCAGCACCACGCAGGAATCCCCACAAAACTGCCGTCCACCTGAACACCTCAAGGACTTTGCCACTTAAAGATTGTAGATAGACACCTGCATGTTTTGTACCAAACCGGAGAAAATGTATACTCATATTTTGTTTTTGTTTATTGTTGTTAACTTAAGTTAAAAATGGCTGCTAAAAGTGTAATCTGGTTAACATTAATTCTGAAAATAAGGCATACTCTACAGACGTCAAAATAACGACACTCAAACATTTCAGAATTTATTTGGACATTGTTTTATTCAATCATCATCTTTAAATTCGCCAAATTCCATTTTTACACGAGCACAACTTTTATTCAAGGAGGAAAGGGATGTAGTATTCATCCAAGTTTGTCACCTAAGGCGCTCCATACTGATCTACAATAAAGGCAAAAGGTCACCCCTCAGTCAGAAGTCATGACAGCCACAAAACAGTTTGTGATTCTCTCTCTCAATATCTAAGTTTAGGCTCTCGGATCTTACACGACGTTGGCAGCAAAAATTTATGCTATTAAACTTATGAATAAAGCCCAATTAATCACCCATTCCAAGTTTCGTGTTGGTTTGCAATGAGTTTAACCAACTTTTTAAAGTGAAACTTTCATCCTGATTTTGTTTTTACAGGCAGCTCTTCCGCTCCGCCAACACTCCTAAAAAGGATCCTTGACGAACACGACAACTTCGCCAAAGAATGCAGCGAAGACACACTGATGGATAACACCTTTCAGTTGCCGTATATTGCAATCGGTTACTTCGACCATGATGGTGGAAGCCTGTCCTTGGGCAAGTACAATGTCCACATGTACATCCCTCGTGGCGCACTTCCCAAAAAATCACTACAGCAGGTGTACATCTATGTCAACCCCAATGCGCCACCTGTGGACGGGATCCATCCTCCGCAGGTTGCTCTCTCACCCGTGATCCAGTGCGGCCCGCCAGGTCTGAAGTTTTTAGACAGCGTGGTGCTGCAGTTCCCGCATCACGCTAGCGAGAACTCCAGTTGGATGCTTTACACCAAGATCTGCAGCGACGAAGATGCGGCGTACAAGGCCTGGCATCCGCTCGACGGCGAGGAAGATGGCATCGTGGTGTCAACTGAAAACAAGAAGGTCGTTCTCCTGATGAAGCATTTTACCGGAGCAGCTCTAGTGGGCGAGCCGTCCTCTACCAGCAGTAAAATGGTGCACGTTGGCGCGTTCGGAGGGTCATGTACCGAATCTGATACTTCGTATGCCGTGCGAATCCACGCTTGGGACGATGACCCGGTTGCTAAGCAGGTAATATGACAATATATTATCTCCACACACCTAAACCTGTACAGGTAACGCCGATAGTTTCTGATATAGGAACACTGCTGTTAAAGTTTAACACCGGCGGTTCTATACCATCCGTGTTTAATCTAAAACCGCTGTTTCTCAGTGAAGAAATACTCGCTATTGTTATAAATTACTACTTTTTCAATTTATATTTTCTGTGTTTGACTGTTATTCTCTGAAATTTCACTTAAATAAATGTCTTTCGGAAAAAGAACTTTTAGGGCATTTTTGTGTCGTTTTTAAAGAACAAAATTCTCGATCAGATGCAGCCATAAACAAGTCATATCAAAGTAGGTAGAAACCGTATTTGGTAGATTACGTTGATCCTGTCACTCCCAAATGACTCTCTGCGTTTACAACTGCTGCGTGTCGTTTGCTACTATCCCTTTTCAGAAAGTTTTGGATATGGAGAAGGAACTTGAATCCAAGCCGTTGGATGTTTACAGAGACATGTTAGTCCATCACAGTCACGGAGGTGTGATCGTTGCGCTTGAGAACCTCAAGACAGGCTGGGAATTGGAGGAGAATACATCACAGGTATTGCTCTCTTAAAGATGAATCGGATGAAGGGAGTGATGTTTTGCCATTCCTCTTTCAAGCAGATGTTTGCACGCAAGAAATCAAAGCTGTCATACAGGCATTGGGGCAAGAGTAATGAGGCCCAACCATTTTGTTTTAAAGCTTGTGAATCATTCGAGTATAGAAACACTTTTGACATCCAAACATACAGCTTTTTCGATACTTTTCAACATCATAGCATCAGGAACGCTTTCACATCCGTGAACGATAATAGTATGCACTCCATGATCATTAATGTGAAACCACGCTGTAAGAAACCAAGATAGAGATTGAGACTTCATTGTCTTTTTCTTCCCATTGTTAGAAACAAGAGATAAGCAAGTCCAGAGTTTGGCGGTTCCCAAAGAACTCTGTGACCTTTGACATGAGAAGACAACTGCCTCGTGCAGAGAGTGACCTAATGCAGCTGCTTCCTGGGGCTGACGGAGTCATATACCAGTGTATCTCGGAATCCGACACAACTTCGACTGAAGATAGAATTCGATTGTCGATCCGACCAAAGCAAGTGAGTGACAAAAATTACACAACGACTACAGTCTTAATCTATTATATCACATTCGATAATATCACAGCAGTTTGGATACGTTTTGGTGTGAAAAATCAAACTTTAAAAGAGGTTTCCCCCTTTTTTTCGAAAATTATTTTGCAGGGGAAAATTGCAACGTCTCACAAGGAAGCTAGTAAAACCTGCACAGAAGTAAGAAATATAAATGTTTGTTTAAAATCATAATTAAGTCCGGCTGAGCTGGTCAACGTATCCTGGGAAATATTAATATTTGCGAACAAAATATCTCATATTTTACATTTGGTACAAGACGTATAGGGGCTTAAAAGTAATCGCCCTTTTTGATATTCCTTTTCTGTTAGTTACGTCTGTAGAACTTTGCTCGATTTGCAAGGTAATTGTAACAGAAAATTAACTTTTGTATAGAGAAACAAGCCCCGACAAACCATATAATGCTGTTGTGAGGTATACAACATTAACTAACGAAATTATCTTGTATAAAAAAATCTTGACTGTTATTCGAACCTTAAGAATGTTTTTGTCCGTCCTTCTCAAGGAAAAGGTGAGAACGGCAATTACAAGGAGGGTGCACGGACTAATGGACGGCGACTACGGAGGCTTCTCAGAGGCATTGGTTCAGAAACTTTGCCAACACTTAGATACCGAGAAACAGCCACAACTGGACGGAACTTGCCCGGGACCTACTTGGGGAAGGTCTTCGGTCAAACGACATCGCTCGTCAAGAAAGTCCATCAAAGGAGACGATCAAAGTCTACTTTGCAGGCTGTCGAGCGGATAATACTTCAGACAAGCCAGCTGTTCAGCATCTGATTGAGAAGTTTGCGAGTGAAATAGTGGATATTGTAAGGAATGAAGTCCGCCGTGCGTGGGAAGAGGGTCAACCATCAGGTACGACTGGCAAATGTTGAGTTCATTAACACGATTTGCCAAAACAAGGGAGGAAGGCAAAAAAAGTCCTCTCAAATTTCTGCCACTGGAAGTCTTCCAAAAGCAAGCATTAATATGAGCCTTGAGAAATATTGTGTCAATAGTTTGTATCCATTCATTCAGTCTACCGTCATTCAAGAGAACCTCAACTCCTCCTTCAGCATCTGTAGGGATTCAGCCAAATTGATGCTCTCCTGTAAATATCCCTCTGTTAACTGTTTCAGGCATGGAAAAAACCGGAGTAATAACCGAAGCAAGCGGAAGTGTCCAACGCGTCTCTGAAATACCTTTGCGATCTGCACCTGGTTCAAACAGTGACGTCAGCGGATCGATACCGTGTCAAATTAGTGTAAGTTTTTTTATGGCTCAAGTAAAAATGAAAAGGTAGATGTGATCGTATCCTCAAAGTTTCCAATCACAACAACTGGTAAAAGCCATTCTCTTTGAAGAAAGTATTCTTTTGGCAGAAAGAAGTTGTTAACAAACTGAAATTTACATTTTGTGATTTTAGGGAGCAATGATACTTCTGACCAAATACTATAGCATCACAATTGCAATGACATTTTGTACATCACAGTGCAATTCACTTTAGTGGTTCATCCAGGCGTGCAAAGCTGTGAATGAATTTCCTTTTTGTTTGTAGTCGGGCCTCTTAAATCTTGAAAAAATATTCAGAATCGAGAAATAATTCGTTCGTTCGTGACTTGGTTTGCTTTTGACGCATTTATGCAAAACCTAATTAAAACATAAATCATTTGTGTCAGACTGAAGTAGATGACCAGAAGCGCCTCCGTCGGCTTGCCGAGAAATTGGGACCGGAATGGGAGACACTGGCTACAGAGTTAGGCTGCACTAGTGAGAACCTGTTCAGGATTAAAGAAGACAAGCGAAATTGCGTGGTTAATCAGATCTTTACAATGCTTGTGGAGTGGAGGCAGCGAGGGGGGAGGTTGGATGAAAGCATCTTAGCCGACGCCTTGGGGAAGGCCAAACGATTTGATCTGGCACAGCAGTTCCGAGGTGAGACTCCCAGTTATTATGCTTGCTGGTTCTTGCTTTGACCTTATATTAATGGTTCTCATAGATTGCAACCATACCATTGCTTTCCAGCATTATGGTCAACTTCTCAAGTCCCAGTCTTGATGTCGTCTTCAGACGAAGCCAGCTTCTAATCGTGAAGGGCTCAGCCTGATATTTTATTCATGTTTATTATTTGTGTCATCCAGAGACAAGCAGGATTGTTCATCATCTTCAACAATGCAACCGGGGCTTCTGTGTCGTCTAATCTGCTAGTTAGCTTTTCCTCAGTTTCAACATTTTTAGTTCTTTCGGCACTTCATCCTAAGCAGCTCTTGTTTCCCTCTCTGTCTTTTTTTTAAAACTCTGTCACAACACTCTGCAAACATTTCAGTACTTGATTCTTGGTTGGTTCTTCTCCTAAATACTCCACTTGGGAGTTTAAACAGGAGACCAAAAACACCGAAGCAAACCCCTTCTCTTAGTGAAAAGTGTTACTGGGTTCTTTTACGTGCATTGCATTACACAACACACGGGACCTACGGCTATACGTCCCATCCGGGACGAAGCAATAATGGTAAAGTGCCTTGCTAAAGGGCACAAATTTCCACCCGGCGGGCTCGAACCCACGCCACTGTTGCCTCTGAATCACCAGAGCATGAGCCCGGTTATCTCAACCGCTAGACCATGACATATAATACTATCGGCCATAACACATAATACTGTATCGGTACTGCCTCGGACGACTGCCCAGGCGAGTAGCGGCGAACGTCCTAGCCTCTACGGTCGGGTACGCAGACCCGTTTCGGCGGAGATTTACCGCCAGTCCCGCAGCAGACTACCAAAAACAACACCCTATCACGCACTCACTCCACTCACTGGGCTGACGGACGAGGGATATCTCGAGGAAGGAATGGGACACTGGACACTGGTTTGCGCCTTCCCTTAGCCTTGGGGATTTATTCCTCATTCCCATTTCGGCCTACCTAGGTGCCTCGCCTACGTGATCTTATACTAAATCACTTCCCTTATAACCTCAGAGATTACCTAATTATCTGGATTATGATGCAGGAATCATTTATCAATTACACTCAAGCAAAGTTTGAGGCTCCCTCATAACGAGACCGCGCTCGGTTTACAGCCACAACAGAAAGAGAGCGAGGCTGAGCGCGCGGCCGCTTATATACACTACCAGTAAATAATTAAAGTGCGCCCTCTATAAAATGCATTGCGCTTCAGATCTATTGGCTTTTTTTCTTTGCCTGATTATTCAACAAAAGTGCATTTTAGAGAGCAAGTAATATTCACTCAATGACACTTAATCTAAATTGACTTCAGTTTGTATTATTGATTTCATTGACAGAGATGACGTCAGGAATAAGGAGAAGACGTGTTAGTAGTATATCAGGACGCAGCATATCAGGATGCAGTATATCAGGACGCAGCATATCAAGACTCAGCATTAATTTACAGTAGGAGGTAGTAGGCACAATGAAATAACTTGGTGATGCTAAAAATGTGGGTTTTTTTCAGAGTTGTAATGACTCGAGTCAATGACTCGACTCGAGACGGACTCGAGTCACAATTTTTGGTGGCTCGACTCGACTCGAGTCCCTAAGGGTAAATGACTCGATTCGACTCAAGTCACTGCGAGCAAATGACTCGACTCGACTCAAGTCCCTCATCAAAAGACTCGGCTCGAGCCAAGGCTAATAAGACTCGAGTCCCAAAAATAAAAGCATTTTGCGAAAAGTATTTGCAATGACTTACGGTACAAAATTTATGCTCACTTTGCTTTGAAAAGAACAGTCATGTATAATTATACAACGTGTCACAGACTCCCGTCTTATGGTTTTAGAACGCCCAAAATACTATCCAGGAAGCAAATTTTTAAACACATTTTCTAATTCGCTGTTTCATCATTGGCTTTAGGCGATTTCTTATAAAGCTCTCGGATTCGAACACTAGCTAAACTTATGGCCTTCCTTTTATACATTTTGGTATATAGTGTTCAAATATTCGTGACTCGAATTGACTTGAGCTAAATATTTGATTCGACTCGACTCGACTCGACCTTTGTACCTAATGACTCGACTCGACTCGAGTCACTTCTTTAAAGTGACCCAACTCGACTCGAGTCACAAAAATCAATGACTCGTTACAACTTTGTGTTTTATTACTTTTTAAATTCGGTCTTTTCTTATTGATTCACTCTTTAAAGTGTGTTTGAATGGAATTTGAAAACAAACTCCCACGAGGCTGTTAATTATGACAAATTTTTCAAGTAAACAGAAAATATCTTCTTTTTTTGTTAGTGAGTTGCTGTAATCGCAACCATTGCAACCTGTTTCATACATGTACAGTATATTAAAGGGAATGTACAACATTTGCTTTTGCTGCACTTTTCAGAAGTAAATGGATTGGTGGATTACTATGTTATAGCAAATATTTTTAAACTGACTTGCTTCACATTTTGGGTTTGGAGATGCTGGAAAACCAAAAAATAAAGATCTTGTAATCGGTTCACTGACTCCGCTTAAGATGAATCCGAGCAATTGGGAGAATTTTAAAATCGCAGAATTAGTCTAGCAGGCTTAGCTTGTACCTCATCACAATTGTGTAATCACTTGCAAAGAAACTGCGGAATAACTTAATATAGAAAAAGAAGAAAAATAAGCCATTTTTTTTAAATACAAGTTTTCCTGAAAATGTCAGCAAACCAGGAGCCACGAATTTACAGGATGCTTTGGACTGTCATTCCCCAATCATCCAGTAAGCTAGACTTTTCGTGATCCTTTGATCATTTCGGTTTTTTATTTTTTTTTTTTTTGCAAATGTTGTATTTTCCCTTGAATGCCTACTGCTGGTATTTTAAGAATGTTATGCAAAAGAACATGGCGTTCAGTATCTAATATTGTCATAAGATAGTTTGCATCTGAATGCAGTCTTTAAAACACCTGCTACTAAGTGGTTTTATGGGTTGTTGTGCCGTCAAAATTTCTTGTACACGATGTTCTATCTAGTTTTAGATATTGTTGGGGCTTTTGGTATTAATAATTAATGAGTACATGTTAGAAGATGGGGAAAATTTTGATTTTGAAGTCAAATAATAAGGAAGAATTGCACATCAAAGCAGAAAACTAATCGCTGAATTACACCTATACAGGTATTTGTCCGCATCATCAGCTAATCATCAGCTAATCAAAGCGGTACTTTCCTCGCCTTCCACCGCTGTGACCCGGGTTCGAATCCCGCCGGGCCAATATGTGGATTGGGTTTTCAGTCCCTACCTGATTCCGTGGGTTTTCCTCAAAATATTCCTCTGGGCTTTTCCTCCCACCTCTAAAACTGTAATTTTTTTCTCATTGTCTTCTCTACAGGTTTCTTCAGGCTTCCGGGCTAAAGTGCTTAAGGCACTTTTGAGGGACCCTTGGTTTCAATACCAGAAAGAAATAAAATAAATAAATAAATAGTTACAAGTTATTTCAAAAAGACGACATCGTATTATTTTTAGCTACACATACAACAATTTATTTCAAGGTGTGTCTTGAATTATTTGTCAAGTTAAATATGTATAGTTAAAGAACATTAAATTTTTGACACAGGTTGATGCTTAACTGCGACAGTAAGAATGATTTAAAATGCATTGAGTGCCTTCTGTTCATTAAAAACACGTGGATTTTGTCTGCATGCCTTTTCAATGTTTGGATGATCCATGTATTTCGAATACAAACTTAGGGTACCGTTGTTATCGAAACCTGCAGAAATTAAATTAAATGTCACTTCATTGTAAAAATAAGACGATTTTAGCTGCCTCGCCTAATACAACCTGCATGTGACTGTGCATATGGTGTAAATTGGACGGCTTGAATGGTTTCTTTTGGGGGTAGTAGAGGTGGTGGTGGTTGGGGGCGTAACACCGTTATAATTACCCGGTTTTTTGAGGTTGTTACGGAAAGAATCATCAGTATTCAAACATCAACTTTTCATCATGTTTAAGTGATGCACAATGCTTGGAAATAGTGTGAAATTATGAATGTTAATAATAAAGAGCATTTCAAAATTTGAAAGAAAGTAATTTTAAAAATGTCACAACTTCTCTACAAATACCTGTTTTCTTCGATAACAGGTAAACCTTTATCATCGCACGTTTTTACGGGATTTTACCAAAAATAAATACATACTTACCGTAATAATGAAGTTTTAACGACCAGAATAATATTGACTGCTACTATTATTTTGGGTTCTTTATAGCCATCAGCGTCCCTTCTGTTAAATTTTATTTCTGTTCGGTATCATGTGGTATGAGTGTGTACTTTATGTATTGTTTTTGTGTTAATTGTTATTTGTCTGATAGGTTATTAGGGTGGTTTTTTGCCTGTTGCTATTTTAATTTGTCTGTTGGTTGGGCGGTTTCCGTCGTTTGTTTGTTACTTTGTCCATTGTGCATTTGTTTTTGTATGCGGGGTTGTTAAGTTGATTAACTGTTGTTTGTTTATCTGTTTGTTTGTTTTTCTTTGTTGTTGGTGTTGTCGTTGATGTAGTTGTTGTCGTTGTTGTCGTTGTTGACGTTGTTGTTGGATTTTTGCTGTTGTTGTTGTTGTTGTTGTTGTTGTTGTTTGTTGTTGTTGTTGATGATGTTTGCTTATTTGTTTGGCTGTTGGTTGATATCTTGGTCCCCGTGTTTTGGCATACATAACACGAGTATGGTTAGTTTGTTGGTCTGGCTGTCTGTTTTGTCTCTTGTTTGTTAGTTGTTTATATTCGTTATTGTTCGATTGTTTGCGTCAATCTATCTGGGTTAGTGTTTTTGCCTTAAAATTTATATTTTTAATCTTTTGGGTCATTAATTTAGTTTTAGCAGTTGATTTCTAGTTGATTTTTTTCGGTTATTATGATTCTGCAATACTTTTAGCTCTTATTATAATGCTATCATGCTGTTTAAGTATCAAATGATGCTTAATTCGCTTCCTTTTTTAATGTAATAGGAATGTATTTTTTATTATAACAATTTTTCAAAGTTTGTTTAGTTCATTGCCAATGGTTACTCAGTGTTTGCTCGTAACCCTGCCCTGCAAACAGGGCGCTGGGAAACGCTGATGAGCTTCACGGAATCTTGTGAAGGAAGTGGGGTGGTATTCTGGGTAATGTATCATGAACTATGTTTATAGACATCTGGCTGCAGCTGTTTAAGACCGCAGTTAGCCAATGCGCGCAAATGCTATCCGAAAACTTTCTCATAGAAATGTACACATTCAATACTGGATGTGATTTCTTTTTTATTGCGGACCATGTGGACAAATTTGAGCGTCACATTATGAAATCATTGACCCTTCGTGAATTCGAAACGGAGTCTGAGCAAGTGACAGGAATCGAAAATGTACAAAACAGATTTTACAGATTTCCCTACATTTTTACGCTTTTCAACGAAAAAAACATTAATGAATGGGAATAAAAGAGTGATGACTCAGTCTTAACGGCCGTTTAATTCCTTGCAGCGTCGGATCGAGGCAGTGATGACTTGCAGGTCACAGGTCACGGGTCACGTATAATCTATCCAATTAAAGCGTGAATTAATCAGCCGATCCCAGCGTCGGGGGGGGGGGTACGAGCGAATTCAGTGTGAAGCGCTTAGAGCGTCATTTTCACGGATTTTAGCGCTATATAATTTTAGATGTTTACCATTAGATAACTCGACATACTGTTTAACCTTTGTATCCGACGTTTTCTACGAAGATTTTTTGTCCATATTCTCAATATTTCGGCTTCCGTTCTGACCAGTCTATCTGACGGTTTCACTTATTATGGCAGTTCTAATTTTAAAAAAATGCATATATTTTATTAAAAATAGCTACCTTCTAGTAAATGTTGTGCTGTACTTTCTTGGTATTGTTTGCAAACTACATGTATTGGCATAAACATTAAACTAATTTTGGCATACCACGTATATTCTTCATACCTCTGTCAAACCGAACGTTTATTGTCATGACAGGGGCGTTCACTGCAGCGTATCCATGTTTCAAGTTTGTGTGGGGGAGGGGTAGTGCGTGTAATAGGGGCATTAATAGAGGACAATAAGGTCCCCAATCCCCGAGAGGTCCCCAGTTTGGATTCGTGTACAAATATGGGAGGTCTTCCTAAAAAGTACAAATAAAAGAGGGAAAGTAGGGAGTCCCCGATTGCAGACAAATACACACTTGCTACTGACGTGTGTGTGGGGGAGGGTGGTTTGCTGGCGTTTCCAGACGAATTTGATTGGTTGCTATGACAACATATTTGCCTATTGATAACTCATTGCTTGTTAAAAAAAAAAAAAATCGTCACCTCCCAATCGCCCCCACTGGATGTTTTGGGTCGTGTTAGCTAGTCACCACGTTTATAATAAAAATTGGGAGCCCCTACTGTAACATCCAGCCCTCCCCCCCCCGCTCCCCCCCCCGCCCCCCCCCCCCCCCCCCCCCCCCCCCCCCCCCCCCATCGTGTGCATGCACAATGGGCAAAAATCAATAGCCTCAAATTCAGCATAAGCCAAAAAACATAGTCGGTCTCTGGTCAGCGGGCGCGTCAATTTTAATCATGCGCGTCAACCTTGTTTGTTAACGCGGAAGCTACAACAGCGTCCTCTATTGCCGCACCTCCTCATTTTTTTTTTTACCAAGGAGCACCAAGGAATAGGAAAATTGCATCAATGAAAATAATTGAGGGCACCAAGGCAAATTATGGAGAACACCAATGTATAAGAGGACACAAAAAAAGCAAAATAGTACCCACCTTGTCTGTACAATTCAAGTTTAAAAAAAAGGGAAAAAATCGCGTCGCCTCATCAATTCTGGAACTTTGGTCTGACCAGAGACCGACTATTTTTTGGGCCTAATATATTCACACCACAAAAACTTGAGGAGGGGGTTCGACTCAATCCTCTTTATGGTGGGGAAATCTCCTCCCAATCCCCAGGGATTTTGTACCCATGACCCAAGGGCTCGTTGCATGGTGGGGCTCATTGCTAATTAACATACACCGCATGCGTATAGTCCCACTGATCTCCATGTTAACAATCTGGATAGTACATTGGCTGGTTGGCACTCCCATAACGATGGAATATTGTGAATAAATTTGTCATATACAGCAGAAGTTATTACCTGTTATACTCAACGTAGGCATTATTCGCTGTGCTTTGTTTTAAATAATCGACAAAAAGGTGTTACTTTCATTCTTTTACACTGCAAAAACTGTAGTGGTTAATTTAACACCATTCGGTATCTATATAGGACAACACCAGTAACATTTAACACCAGATGGTCCTATATAGATACCAACAGTGTAAATTTAACACTGCAGTTTTTGCAGTGTATAATTCAGTTTTATTGACATACAAATTGTTACAGATACCGAAATTCCTTATTTTTTGTTCTATTCTTAAACCATACGATAGCAGTGGTTGCCTATAGGCCATGTACCTTGTGACGTCATGCCAGCAACAGGCAACCCCCGGACAATCCAAACACTTGTATTGTACGTTGGGCTGTTGTCCTCCGAGTTTAGCAAAACGCAGAAAAAGGGGACACTCACACCACACGTACCAAGTTCATATGACAAAATAGCACTTATAACCAATCTGAATGTCGCATATATCTCATCTCTAGCAAGTTTTGTGGAGCACAGTATGTTGGGTAGACTAAGAACACGCTTAAAAAAGCGTTTTTATGGCAAGGGCGGATTCCCCCCCCCCCCCAAATAAAAAGGAACCCAACTCATTTTGTTAAAGTGACTTCGCTATAAATGCCGGCACTGCATTCACGTGTATACACTATACCATCTTTTCCGAAAAAACAAAATGGACAACAGTGGTCAGAAACTACCTCAGATCGCACCCTAGCGTCTAGAATTCAATTAATGTCGGGTCCCTAAGCGGGCCCCGAACCCTGGGCTGTAACTTTTTGGACCCACTTTTTGTTGGACAAACAATTTGTGGCTCCCCAAAAATGTGTTCTGGGTCCGCCCTTGTTCTGTGATCATCCATCAACTGTCAACACCTAGAGAATGGACAACACTGTTGGCTACCACTTCAACCTCCCGAACCATACAATTTCCAATGTGACGTACTTTACAGGGTATACAGTCATCAACATAGAGTCGTATCCGGAAGGGGCAGGGTGCGCACCTTGTCCTCCCTGGCCGATTTTTGGGAAAGATATTTTTTTCAGTAACTATTTTCATAAATGGTGCTTACATAAGAAACAACTTGAAAGGAAAGCAAGCACCAAAGCCATTGAATGTGCCTTGAAAATCCCCCCTCCCCCCCCCCCCCCCTTCGTCCTCCCTGGCTGATTTTTTGGAAAGATATTTTTCAGTAAATATTTTCATTACTGGTGCTGATGGGACCACAGAGCACCTAGAAATAAAATCAGGGCCCGCATAAGGGCCACGCATTTTTTTGGATCCACTTTTTGGGGGACACATTTTTTGCCCCTCCACCCCCCCCCCCCGCCAACAAATTGTTATGGAACCGCCCTTAGTCTCGACATCCAACAAGGCAACGATTGATGTTTCTTTCTCTCCAAGTAGAATTTGTTTCAAATCCATCTTACTCTGTGGTTTTCACTCATCCTTCCCGCAACCCCTTCCTCTAGTTACACTGACACCGTCCTTGCCCCCTAGCTTTCTTCTTCTTTACCCTGTTACATTCATCACCACTCTCCTTTGTCCCCCCCCCCCCCCAGCATCTTTCCCTCCCCCAACCCCCTTTTGTTTCCCATCCCCACAACATGTACATGTACTCCTTAATTTGTTCCCTGAATCCCCCCATCCCTCCTTTGTGTTTCTCCTTCCAACCCTGCCTGCCTGCATGTCCCTTTTATGCATGTTTGTTTCTTGTCCCTGTGTCTTAAGCCACTGAAGAAGTCTTTGCTCTATAGGAAATATATCAGGCCTCTCTAATAACTGTTTGATTTGTATTAAATTTCAGGTCAATCCATGCAGTTAATGAACAGTGTGCAGCAGTTGTAAAACGAGTTACTGAAACGCAACCCAAGTTTCCAAACAGGCTTCAATTATTTTAAGTGATTGAGGGCGCTATTCAAGCGGTTAACTCCACTGTTCTTTTCTTCCTGGTTGTTTTTCTTTACCTTTTCTTTGAGTTTCAATACATCTTTCACGATTTTCAGTTCTGTCACTGTCAGCGAACTAAACTTACGGTAAGTTGATAATCAGCTTATTTGGGAGTTCGTGTAGTTGAGGACACCTCCGTTTTTTTTGTTATTCCCATTTCTGTCCATCACTTGTCATCCAGCCTGTGCACACTGAAATAGCTTGAGTATTTTTTCTATTAACTCCAGCTGAGTGACATGCTCCATATTCATTCACATGTAGCGCTGGAGGCATAACCTGTTCGTTAGAATGTGGCAAGAGACCCTAAAAAATGGCCTCTCAAAAATTGTTCATTTTCACCTCTAATATCCCACCCCAGATTTCATTCATATACCTCATACATACAGCAGTCATTTATGAAGCCTAATGATCGACTTGAAACAGACCACACACAAAAAATGTGAAAAACCTGACGATTTCGGTGGCTTGTCCGTAAACAAACGCCAGTTCCAACGGCTGTCGTCCATTTTATTTTGCTAATTATGTAAGGGATGCATCACGTGATGACATCGAAAAAAAATCTGCGCGCGTGATGTATGTGGGTACCACACCGCTGGAGGCGCCGCAAGTGAGTTCAATTTTCGTCTGGTGCGTTGTCGCGAAAAGCAAGACAACGAGAATGCTCTCGACGACAACGCACCAGACGAACATTGAACTCACTTGCGGCGCCTGAAAGCGGTGTGGTACCCACATACATCGCACGCGCGATTTTTTCGATGTCATCACGTGATGCATATATTTACATAATTAGCAAAATAAAATGGACGACAGCCGTTGGAACTGGCGTTTTTTTACGGACAAGCCACCGAAATCGTCAAGATTTTGTGGTCTGTTTCAAGTCGATCATTAGGCTTCGTAAATGACTGCTGAATGTATGAGGTATATGAATGAACTCTGGGGTGGGATATAAGGGGTGAAAATGAACAATTTTTGAGAGGCCATTTTTTTAGGGTCTCACTCTCACTACTCAGACAGAGTGACTCTTGCTACCACATTCTTGGTTCTTGGTTGGTTCTTCTCCTAAATACTCCACGTAACCTGTTCTAACGAACAGGTTACTTACATGTATGCCTCCAGCGCTACATCAGTACATGTGAATGAATATGAACATGTCAGCTGGAGTTACTCAAGCTAACACTGAAACTGGTCTGAACATTTTGAAAAAATCGAAGTGTTTTCTCAGTAGATAGAGGCCTAAATACTTCGATATTTTCCCCACTCAGTTTGACTTTTTACACATGTTTTTGGACATATCACTTCCTGATGGCTGATATAACTGATAGGTCACTGAAGGGAAAAATTAGTGATGGTCAGATATGGGAATCTTTCCAAATTGAGAACAATAAATTGAAAGAAAACTCGGCTTTCTTGTTAACCTGAAGCAAGCATAGCCTATTATGCGAATCGACACGTGGGGCAGACAACTCGACCATTGAGACAACTCGACTCTGGACAGCTCGACTGTTGAGACATCTCAACCGTTGGGACAACTCGACCGTATGTCATGTATGGGCGTTAAATGGAAAGACTTGTCGCCGTTGAGACAAGCCGCCTGTTGAGACAAGTCTACTCGTAATTTTTCGGGGAATATTCATATTAGTAGGCCCTAGGTGGGATTTTTCGTCGTGTTCGGATTTGATTATTGGGTTGGGGTAGCTTAAGTAACTCCAGCTGACATGCTCCATATTCATTCACATGTAAATGAATATGGAGCATGTCAGCTGGAGTTACTCAAGCTAGGGTTGGGTTGCTTAACAGGATAAAAGTGGGTTTGGCCGGGGCTCCTATTTATGCTGGGGTTTTTCTAAGCTGAGAGAGCAAGCATTTGGCGGTTGGGTACGGGATGGGGAGACGCCAAGTTTTTGGGGGTTTTTTTTTGCTGTGGGGATTTTGTTGCCTGGTCGAGCCGCTCGTGGTGGGGTACGGGTTGGGGGAAAGCCTGCCGCTTGGCTCGGTCGGATTGGGCCGGGTTGATGGGGCTGGTGTAGCTGGACGGGGTTGGCTTATTTTAGTTTAGGAAAATGATGGCGCTGTCCCATTCATTGGCACATGGGATGGGCGGACATACGAGATTGGGTAGGTTTTGGATAATGATTGTGTCTAAACGGTCGAGTTGTCCCGAGTCGACTTGTCTCAACGGTCAAGTTGTCTCGACGGTCGGGTTGTCTCAACTGTCGAGTTGTCTGAACGGTCGAGTTGTCTCAACTGTCGAGTTGTCTCAACGGTCGAGCTGTCTTGAGTCGATTCGTCTCAACGGTCGAGTTGTCTGACATTCATCGACACACCTACTGCACCGCTCAGTGTGGAGGCTAGTCTGGTTCCCATACCAAAAGATTCTGAACAGCAGGGTGGCCGTTTTAGCCGATTTTCAGCCAACTTTGACACATTTTTGGTTAAAAAATGAGTTTGACTTTGACACGTTTTTGGTTAAAAAATGAGTTTGACAGAAAATTTGACAGAATCGATTTTTTTTTGGCAGATTTCTGGCAGAATTATGCACAATTGGTTAATTGACAGAAAAAACATAGCAAATATAAAAAAAGGTACATTTGTGTGAAGAAGCTTTCATCTTTTCAAACAAACCCTTGCATAATGGGACAGGTTGGCTAGTCTAGGTGCTGAGGCTCACTGGGAACCGGACTTCGACGTGACGCAACCGCATTTTCCCTGACATTTACGCAATTTCATAACATTTTAATGTGAATTTAGACTGTTTATAATGTAATTTGAACCTTAATTAAGGCAAAATTGCAATATCTGCATGTGATTTTAAGTGGTTATAGTATTTCGAGTAATTTGGGGGAATGTGGCAGATTTTTGATAAATCTGACAGATTTTGAAGTGCATTTAGCAGAATTTGGCCATGACCTTACAGTCACCCTGCTGAACAGTAGGCCTACATGTATTTTTAATGTGGAACCAGTAGCTGAGTAGGGAAACAAGCTGCACTGGTACATCAACCAATCACAGACCATCTACCAAACCAGCTTGGACGCTTTTGCCAAGTTTGTTTTCAGCATTTACCTTTTCATCACCGTCCCTTTTACCCCAATTAATCCTGCAATTATATTCAAAATTGTGGTGTTGTCCTCTACTTAACCAAGTCCAAAAGTTGGCTTCTAAATGGAGTTTTCCATCAACGAATCAGCGACGTTTTACCAAATCACCTTGTTGGTAGTTTTTTCCTTCTTTCGGAAAGATGTGCATTGTAAACATGTGAGGGCCACTTCAAGCACGTCTTGAGTTTGTTCTGCTACATGAAGTTCTTTTGGTGCGTAGAAGTAAAAGAACATGGATGCAGATTTGATAACAGTTGCCAATTGTTTACTAGCATCATTAACTAAAATTCATGGTTTTTTTATTTGTCACAGTAGTCCAAGATGAGTTTTTTCAACAGCGATGTGCCAGAAATAGTGCTGAAGAGCCTCTTCTCAAAATATGACAAAGACGGCAGCGGCTCGCTTAACAGCGAAGAGCTGAAGACGATGGCGCAAAACGACTTAGGCATGAACAAGAACCAGGCCGAGGCCTTCATCATGCTGGGTGACAAGGACGGCAACCAGAGGATCAGTTTCCAGGAGTTCTACGAGTGGATCAAGAGCGGGGAGCGCTTCTCCATGATCGACGACTCGTCCCGCTTCTTCCTCGTCCGCAAGGCCATCGAGTTGTTCAAGAAGTTCGACAAGGACGGCAGCGGGGTGCTGGAGAAGGCCGAGATGGACGAGGTCCTGATGTCCTTCGGGGCCAAGCGGGAGCACCTGGATGCCCACCTCAAGGCCATCGACAAGGGCGGGGACGGCACGGTGTCCTTCTCTGAATTCCTGGATTATTTAAATTGGCTGCCTAGGCAATGAGTTGGGTGATCGGTGGCAGTTTATCATTCTTATTATGTGGTGGTGGGCAAAGGGTGAAAACAAACAATTTATGCAGAGCTCCGGCAAAAGAAAATGAGGATTTGCTCGCCCTCACATTAATCCACCTGGATCTAACCTCGTTCCCAGGGTGCAATAGCTAGCAGGCATGCCACTTCTCGGATCCGCTGATGTTTTCGTTTTTTACTTCTCATGAATGCCATTCAAATTGAATAACACTGTGCACAGTCTTGTGTTGTTTGGAATTTCCTCTTTTTGTTCTAAATGTAAATTCCAAGTTGCATGCCAATATAACTATGTGTCAACTCAACAGTTCAGTTACATGTACATGTAGTATGCTTTGGTCTATGGAACGCCAAATCTGCATTACCGTACATGTAGTTCGAATCATTTGTCAGACTAATTCCATTGGACAATTTCATTGTTTAGTTCTTGAAACTCCTCAATCTTTTCTGCGAATTCAAATTTCATCCTGCAAATTCACCAGTCTATTCAGCAATTGTATCATTCCTTTCTTCATTTGTATTACCGCATTCAGTGAATTCATAATTGCATTCTGCAGATACACCTTTTAATTTGCCGACTTTATCATTCCATTCGGCGAAGTCGTCATTCCCTTTCTGCAATTTCATTATCTCATTCGGCGAACACATCCTGATAAATTCGCTGAATGAGTGGTGAACTTACCGAACGAGCATGATTTCGCGAAATAAAATTATGATTTTCCCAAATGTAATACTGATTTTGCCAAATGAAATGGGGAATTCGCAGAACAGAATGATAAAATTGTGAAATGAAATAACAGGGAGTGACAAATTTGCTGAATAGAATGGTGAGTTTGCCGAATGGAATGATTAGTCTGCCGAATGGGGTGATAATCTATGGAAGGCAGATTTGGCTTTTCATTCGCCGACTGTATCATTTCATTCGGCGAAGTTGTCATTCCCTTTCTGCAATTTCATTATCTCATTCGGCGAACACATCCTGATCAATTCGCCAAATAAAATGGTGAACTCCCCAAACAAACCTGATTTCGCAGAATGAAATTATAATTTTGCCAAATGAAAATACTGATTTTGCCAAATGAAATGGGGAATTCGCAGAACGGAATGATAAAATTGCGAAATGAAATAACAGGGAGTGACAAATTTGCTGAATAGAATGGTGAGTTTGCCGAATGGAATGATTAGTCTGCCGAATGGGGTGATAATCTATGGAAGGCAGATTTGGCTTTTCATTGGCCGACTGTATCATTTCGTTCCGCTAAGTGGTCGTTCCCTTTTGGCAATTTCATTAATTCATTCGGAGAACACATCCTGATCAATTCGCCGAATAAAATGGTGAACTCGCCAAACAAACCTGATTTCGCAGAATAAAATTATAATTTTGCCAAATGATAATACTCATTTTGCTGAATGAAATGGGGAATTCGCAGAAAAGAATGATAAAATTGCAAAATGAAATAACAATTTCGCAGAAGCGAGTGACAAATTTGCTGAATGGAATGGCGAGTTTGCCAAATGGGATGATAATCTATGGAAGGCAGATTTGGCTTCCATACTGGTGACCATTGCATTAACATCTCTGGTTCTTCAGTGCACCCCTCTTTCTTTAGAATGAAGCCCGGGAAGGAACAGGGTGGAATTTAGTTTTGTAATTTGCTAATTCGTTTCCCATGAATGAACCTAATTTGATTTATATCGCCCCGACGCAAAATTCCATCTTATAATAGTTTATGCGGTACCCGCTGCTACATGTATGTACATCAGATTCGAACCAGCCAACCGATCCCGTTAGCTCGGTGGTCGAGTGGTAAGACATCTGCACTAGAAAGCAGGAGGTCGTGGGTTCGAGTCCCACCCGAGTGATTTTTTCCAACTTTTACTCGGGAGGTAACACACTGAGTATACATAATACAGTGTTTAAACGTCGGTTAAGGGCAAAACCTAATTTGACATGAATTACTAATTCGTTCGCACAAATTGCTAATTTGTGCGCACGAATTGCTAACTCGTTCGCACACGTATTGCTATTCCGTTCGTACGAATTGCTATTCCGTTCGCACGAATTGCTATTTCGTTCGCATGAATTGCTATTCCGTTCGCACGAATTGCTATTTCGTTCGCATGAATTTCTAATTCGTTCCCACAAATTGCGAATTCGTTCCCATGAATTACCAACTTGTTCCCACGAATTACTAACCCGTTCCCGGATGCACGAGTTAGCAATTCGTTCCCACGAATTAGGAAATCGTGCTAACGAAATAGCAATTCGTGCGAATGAAATAGCAATTCATGCGAACGAAATAGCAATTCGTGCGAACGGGTTAATTCGTGCGAACGAGTTAGCAATTCGTGCGAACGAATTAGCAAATTTCAAAAAAATGAATTCCACCCTGTCCCTTCCCGGACTTCATACTTTAGAGATGGCTACTTCCCCCTAGTTTTATTCTCCACCGTGCTAAAGTCTCAAATATTCCATTCATACAAGTAGGACAGGAGCAGCTGACTTTGTATTCAACATATCAGAGAGCTGTTAACTATTTTTCAGGACCAAAGCAGATTTATTTTTGTAGTGGATATGTTTTAACCAGAAACGATTGACAGATGTACAAAGTCAGTAGATACATTGTACAGTTTTATTTGTGTAGTAAGCAATTTTAAAATTATCATGAGGTCCAAATTTTCAGAAAGGTTTGTCCACTTTCGAGATATTTTTATATGGATCAAGTGAATGTGATTATTTTTAGGAGCACCGTAGTTTTAGAATTGAAAAAAATCCTGTAGATAGATAGTCTGGTGTATATTGTTGTACTTCTTTTTGCAAATATGGGTTGTGATAAACTGTTAAGGAGTCCCGCCTGTTATTCTGTATTTAATCCGATTAAAGCAGCATTATTCGTATTTTAAGTATTTTTGTAGTGAAACATTTACCTATAGTGAAACATTTACCTATAGCGTAGAACATATGGTGGCACTGTAAGATTTACAAATGTAGTTATGATTTCATGCAAATTATTGGAGTACAGTACATTTCAATGAGTCTTGTCAGGATAATTTCAAATAGGAGGGGTGTTTAGCAACAAACCTTACTGAAAAGCAAGTGCTGATACCAACGTGCTACCCCGATGGAATACTACATTATATAATTATTCATCCTGATAATGAGGCTTTCACAAGTATTGAATATGATGAAGCATTTGTCAGTCGTTTCAGTATTTTTAAATACAAAAGCATAGTACTTGTGTCAAGAACTTAAAGGAAACATGCAGTGTAAATTCAGCTCATCATGTTTTCATGGGGGACGTCTCTATAGTCCGAAGTACCATTGGTCTGACGTACCATTGGTCCGACGTCCCATTGGTCCGAAGTACCATTGGTCCAATGGCCCATTACTCTATACGTTACATTGGTAAAAACTTCGCATTGGTCCGAAGTCCCTTTGGTCTGAAGTTCCATTGGTCCGAAGTCCGAATGGTCTGAAGTCCCATTGGTCCGAAGTTCCATTGGTCGGAAGTCCCATTGGTCCGAAGTCCAGTTAGTCCAACGTCCCATTGGTCCGAAGTTCCATTGGTCGGAAGTCCCATTGGTCCGAAGTCCAGTTAGTCCAACGTCCCATTGGTCCGACGTCCCATTGGTCCGACTTCCCATGGGTCCGAAGCCCAATAGGATAGGATTAGGATTAGGGCCAGTCAACCCAAACCAGTGGAAATACATGTATACACAGTATTGCGTTTCGTCGGACCAATGGGACTTCTGACTATCAAAACGTAACCGTTTTCATGCACATTAGAATGTGTTGCAACAATACATACAACAAGATCTTAATAGGCCTACTTGAATGACTTGTTTGCATTGAAAGTGACAAGCAAATGGTAGTTTTTCAATTATTGGCAAATCCTTTCATGATGTAGGAGGGCGCTATCTTGCTTTTGTCACACAAGATACTCCTTGTCAAAAGTGCATATGAACAGTACAACAATTAGTCCTTCAAAATTCCCACAGAAAAAGTTTTTAAAGAAATATTGACCACTACCACTACTATAATATTCCAAACAAGCTGTTCAACATGATAGAACAAGTAAAAAGTGGAACTTACCCCAAGAAAATGAAGAAAAGTTTAATATACATGTATACGCAAAGCTATGGAGACACTACTGTTCTGCCTTGAATGACATCACGATTTGGCTCATGAATATGGAAATTTTTATTAGCATAAAAGCTAAAATGTTAAAATTTCTCCCTTTTACTGCTACAAACGAGGTGGAATGTCATAGTAACATAGCAAGAAAGCTGTTTTAAATGTATTTGAGTCATAAAAACCCTATTGCATGTTTCCTTTGAGTCATCGGGGTCACTTACTACATTGTATGTGCATAGTAAAATAGACCATGGTTATTCCAGCACACCAATGTGATACAATGTAGTACAGTCAAAATATCAATCTATTTTCAGTATCACTTGCATTACTACATACTTTCCCTGCATGAAAATGGGTACAGTTAACCAAGCAATTAATTTTAGAAAGGTTTTATTATTAATTCCTCAAATCCGTATTCTGTGGCCTTAACATTAAGCGATTATGTCCTCAATTTTGATCTCAGGAATTTTTTGAAGATTTTTTCCTTATCTTCTAAATATTTTGAAAAACATAGGTATCCGAAATCTCCGAAAATGGAGGGAAAAACATACTCGGTCCTTTGAATATACGTGTAATGATACTCTTTGTTTATTATACAGGGTGAGTCAAACAAAAAAGCGGAACCAAAACCCCAAAAATTATATTTCATATTTTAAAAAAAAATGTAGCACCAAAAATAAAAATGACTGAAAAGCCTATTTCATAAGCTAATTTTAGATGAAAAAAATACTTGTAGATGAAAAAAATACTGAAATTGCTCAATATATTATGAAACATATTTTTGGGGTATGGATTCTTTTTACTCGGCCTGATATAGTGTATTTTTGTAAGTCGTACTTCGATGTTTTTAAACAGTGTTGTTTATACTTTTTTAGGGGTGGGGGCTGTTGATCAAACGTTCTGGCAAAATGAGCTGTTGCCAGTTAATGTTTCAAAAGACTGTAACTTGGAATTCGACAAGCGCATTTTGTTGCGGTGAAGCACAGCACTGTACATTCCCGCTTTTAAGTCTTCACCAATTGCTACTGGAACTCAAAAGCCATTGGAGCAAACACAAAAGAACCGGCTTTACGCATTTCAGAAATTATCTGTGTTTAAGGCCCCCCCCCCCCCCCAAAAAAAAAAATAAGTCGGTCTCTGGTCAGCGCGCGCGTTGATTTTAACCATGCGCGTCAATCTTTTTTTTTCCAAAATGTTCCGCGGTAGCTCCAACAGCGCCCTCTTTTGCCGCACCTCATTTTTTTTTACCAAAGAGCACCAAGGAATGGCATATTGCACCACGGCAAATGATCGAGAGCACCAAGACAAATTATGGAGGACACCAATGTACATGAGGACACCAAAAAAGCAAAATAGTACCCCACCTTGTCTGTACAATCCAAGCTTGAAGAAGAAAAAGCAACCAAAAAAAAAAAAAAAAAGCCGCGTCGCCGCGTCAATTCCGGAACTTTGGTCTGACCAGAGACCATATATATATTTTTTTTTTTGGCCTAAAAAAATGTCCATTTCTTTTTGTAAATGCAATGATACATCTGGCAGTCACTCGGAAACAGCTGTCTTGAGGATTTACTTGTATCCAATTTTAACCAAAGTGCCAAAAAAAGTTTTATTTTGTGAGTAGATGAATTTGTATTTTTGCACGGAACACGGTTTTATAAGAAATTATGTTTATAATCATGACAAATAAACTATGTACCACCATGTTTTTTATAATGTGAACAATACTGTTTGTGAGTGATTTTTGGAGGAATTAATACATGTATATACAACATTTCTTTCGGAAGAATTGTGCTTATACTCTGGGAGCCCAGTCGGATTTTAGGCCAAATAAAAAAAAAACATGTTTAGCGCCCCGCCCGCTTCCTTTTTGGAGGCCGTCTGCTTTCTTTTTTTTTAACACGAAAACATATAAATTTTAAAAAGCGACATCATTCTGGCCTCTTTGTCTGTTGCATGTAGCCCATATAAAGCTGGTATGTCATTCCCGTTTCCAGGTGGCGGCCATTAAAAAAAAAAGAGCTGGCCATCTTGAAAAGTAGCCCAGTCGGGCGGCCATTTTGGAAGGGGAAAAAAAGAGCCTCCTTCCTTTTTTT